GAGAGAGAGAGAGAGAGAGAGAGAGAGAGAGAGAGAGAAAGAAATAGAGAGAGAGAGAGAGAGAGAAAGAAATAGAGAGGGTGCCTGCTCGATTGAAATTATGACAATTTTCTTCAAATTGTGATTCCTCCAACTCCGAAACGGATGAAAAATGATCGTTCATTGAAAAGACATCCGCTATCTTCCTTTAGATCTAGATTCTTGATCTAGGCTAGCCTCGAAACTAGACCAATGATTTTTGTCTGTCTGTCTAGATCTAGACCTAGGCCATAGATCTAGAAGAACCTAGGTCTACCCTGAGCCAAGAGGGCACTGAAACTTGCCAAAATCCCAAAAGAGTTCCCCTACCGGGTCTGTATACTTTGTGACTTTGTTCCCAGTTACTGGGTCTGTATACTTTTATTTTAGGGCACTGAACAGGATTTTTGCAGATGGTTAGTTTACATGTTACGGCACATTACTTCAGGGCCCCACCCGCCCTACTACACAGCTATTACGTACTCGCGCGTCAGGAGGAGACCCCTGAAACCACCCTAATGACTACAAAAGCATTTAATGGCATTATCATAAACAAAAATCCTAATACTAAGCCTTAACAACAACTAAAAAAACCTGACCTTATTCGTATACATATATCTGACAGCACTAAAGTGGTGAAGGAGCTGACTTCCGGTAGTGGATCTGACGCGAAACGGGAGAGCTTCTATAAAAATACCCTAAAGGGTTCTCAGCACACTAAAAAAAGGCCAGCTCTATTCGGACTCGAGTCCGAATATAATTTTTATTTATTTGGACTCGAGTCCGAATATTGATTTTATCTATTCGGACTCGAGTCCGAAAAAAAGGTTTGATTTATTCAGACTCAGCTTCTAAGTGAGTTATGTGAGTGTAAGAAGGTTACATTATATAAATGTCGTCGGGGATTGCGTATAACCAAAATTAGAACTAGGACTGTGTATTTGTGTCAAAAGTCAAAGGGGGGTTTCAAGGGGGCATGCCCCCTTCCTGTATTTAACCATAGAGGCATAATTTGATGATGATGTTTTGCAGTGTCAGTTTTGATATTTTCTCTCGCTCGCCACGCATCAAACATTGTATTGGTATACGCAGCAATAAGTAATCACTTCGAACCTAAAGTAATCTGTGGAGCGAAAACCCATACTCCATAGTAGTTATCGTTGGGGCCAATAATGATCCCGTGCAGTAATTGTGTGAATCATTTCTATAGCCTAGTAAATGCTTAGAAATGACTAGATTCTAAATCTAGAGTCTATTATTTCAATTTATTTTTAACTATTTAAAAATAATATTGTTTTTGATGGATCTTGGCTTAAGAACTAGGTGAAGATCACAGTGATATCGAAGGCAGAAACATCATGAACATGTATGTAGACTTGAACTTTTCAGTTTTGGTTTATCATGTTAATGTTATATATTCAGGGGATTTTTCGGCATCTCTGAAAATTTTTAACCAAATTTATACCCTTGCCAGTTTTGTTTAATGACCAGAAAAAAAAGAAAAGAGAAAAAATACTTTGAAAGAATGCTCAGACTGTCTGTAACCCTAATGGAGCCTAAATTTTTGTAATCCCTTGCTTCGGCTTGTTTTATAGTATCACATTTTGTCGCTCAGTAAGTGATTACTGCGAGCTCATTTGCTTATCCCATTACATATGGAAATTACACCCGTTTTGTTTTTTTGTTTTTTGTTGTTGTTTTTTAAAATTCTTAAATGAAAGAAATACAGTTTGTCTCATAAATCCTGCACAAACTCTTTGCATAATCCGCCAGTTAATGAGTTCCACAGGGGGACTGCCAGGCCCGGGAATTACCCTGGAATTTGAAAATTAAAACAAAAAAACGCAGAGACCCAGGAATGCCCGGAGGATTCAATGAAATCTGTAATATGCCCTGGGAAAGACCCGGAAAATAAAGTTCTCGAACTCAAACATTCGAAAATCAAATCTGATGAAGTCAGTAAGTTCATTTTTGCTGGTCGCGTTTGTGATACAGGGGTGCCAAATGTCTGATTTTTCCGTGTTTTTTCATTCGTATTGTATCACTGACATAAGGTCCTTCTTCTCAAGACAGACGTAATATTATTGTAATTGAGGCAACGAAGGCCCTATACACTCGCAAAGGAAAGGGCAGAGGTTAGAGAGAATATGTTTTTGTTTGCTCATTTAAAAGCTTTACAAGGTTCGGTTTAGGTGAGATGTGATGCTCCGCTCATTTTCAGTTTAAAAAAAAATCATTTGGCATCCCTGGTGATAGTCTTTCGGTTATTTCAGGTACGTTTCACGCAGATAAGCAGCTATGACGTTAGGCGGAAGTGTGTGTGTAATACCGAGGCTTGATTGGTTTAATCAAGATTTACTTTCGCTTTCGTTACCACCTAGAATTTGCCGGCGATAGTCTGATAACGGAACGCAACATTTTTGTGACATGCAGGTTGTGCATTATGTGTGGTCATACAAATAAATCAATATTCGCCACTGTGCTGTCACACCCCTTAAAAAGAAACCCCAATTTTTTTTTTAAACACGTGTCGTCCGATTTCTGGCTTGGCGGGCCCGCAATCATGACCGATCAGTGAACCTGCACGTGCTTGCGTCATATGGTATTGTCTGAGTATGGATTGTTGGGGTCACCAAATTTAATTAAAAAATCGGCGCATTGCGAAGTAAAGACCTCGGAATGGGGGGAGGGGGGGTTAAAAGATCCTCCGGGTGCGGAATGCAACAGAAAAGGACAAAGACTCTGAAGAAAATTTTTTAATTTTGATTAGAGCTCTCTGCAAAGCGTGCAGGATCCTTCCCCCCCTCCCCCCCTCCCCCCACTAAAGTCATACTTGCAGGAAATTTTGATCAGCTTCACTTTGACCCCTGGTTGTATGTTAAGTCTGTTTGATAGATAATGTGGGTTTGTTTTTGACCTACTAAACTAAATAGAAATCTTAGTAAAATTTTACTTTCACACCTGCACACAGATGCATTTTTTTAGGGGGACTCAACCGCTGTAATTTTAAATGCCAGACCAGGATACATTGGCCTCTAAAACTGATGGTTGTTTTCAAGAAAATCTCAAACTTAATTGCAAAAACCAAATTTTGTGAAATACTATTTAACTTTCACACCTGTTTCATTTTCAGATTGATCTGTATAGCACCTTTTTTGTTAGTTTTGATGCGTTTTATGTGAATTTTAATTTATCCGTTGTAAATTATTACGTTTTGAGATATTTGATGTTTTTATAGACACTATTAAAATACAGAGGCCCGATGCATAGTTATGTTTTGCATGTTTTAAAGAAACTCCCCCGTATTTCACTATAATTTGCAATATAAGGTTTGAGATTTTCTTGAAAACAATTGATTTGCGATGATTTCTCATTTCTGTGGCCACACTGCTGTGGTGTTCGGTGTGTTCTGCAGCTAAAAATACATGGCTGATTAGCCCCAATAGCAGAGCATTGCACATGGGCATGATATAATAGATTTTTTTTTGGTGGTCCTGTGCCTGTGTCCCTATTTAATGCTGAATATTTGTAGGTTACCTAAAATGTGTCAACATTGTAGTAAAAATGTTGTGTCTAGAAAAACACAAATAAAAATTTTTTTAAACCCAGAGACTGGAAAATTGTTTGGGCATAGGGAGGCCTACATGGTGATGATAATGACCAAGTTGTTTTTGTGATGTACACGATTAATCATGGTGCTAGTAATTCCTTCGTTTGGTGCCTGCACAAGATGGCAAGATGCAACCTTCATTTCCAACTCCCTTGCATTAAGTGACAAAAATGTAGAAGTAAGTAAGTCGTCATCAGTGTCCTTAACATTAAATAGAAAAGAATAAGAACATTAATTTGTGTGTAATTGTGACATGTATAAGTTAAATATTGTTGTCATTTCTATTACACAGTGCTGTTCTGACATTTCTAGCCGTGGACCTTAACACTACTTGTTTGTGGTGAAGTGATTGAAGGAAATCAAAATGAGTTCCCAGTCAGCAGCTGGGCGCCGCCGCAGCAACAATCGGCAGTACTCTGCTGAGGACCAAGCTTTGAACATGATTTCAAAGGAGGTAAGTTTTTTGTACTGTTTCTTGAACTGGTCACGGCGTCACTTTTCGCCCGATTCTGTTACTTTTAGTTCGCGTGACTCAGCAGCCCGCCGGAGCTCCCCGGCTCGGGGTCACAGGGTTAATGAGCCCTGCAGCGACTTTGCTGGTGTCGGTTAGGAAGTTCGCATTTTTGTCTATGTTTAAAACGATATAACTTCTTTCCCATCCCACACAGCAAACCATTACGCGGATGTACTAAAAGTTCGATATCTTGAGATTTATTCTTCGTAAGAATGGTTAATTTCTGTGCCTTAGTTTTTGTTCTAGACAAGTGTTTGTAGAGTACCCAGTTTGTCCTATTTTAGTTACAAACTTATGAATAAATAATTGTTAATTTAAAAATGGCTCGACAGATCTCTCCAAAATCTGTGTTAAACGGACTACGAGTATCATGTCTTTTGCCATGAGAAATCTTAAATCTGCGCGAGTAGTAGTAGTCAAGTTATAAGAGAAGAAAGATGCACATCTGCATTTTTTAACTTAAGACGATCAGCGTTAGCTCTTATTTTACTATTAAGCAAGAGAAAGTTGCTCTGCGTTTGTTCATGAATCATGCTGTGTCTGTGGCAGCCTGCATACAACTAAAAAGATATAATATAAACGATTAAAAAAAACTCAAAACCGTGTAAATAGCACATTCATTCTTAGTTTTTGTGTTGGAAATATGCGCGGACACAATTATGAATGTAAAGAAATCAGTCACATTGTCAGTTATTGCAAATGGTCATATAAACGAAAAATAAAGCTGGAAAAGTTTGGTGCTGATTCAGTGTCCCTGGAAAGCTAGAAATTATTCTTATAACCCTATTACGAGAAGTCATCCCTATTATTCAGTCAACTTACAAAACCTACACTTAGCGTTTTAAGAAAAGTAAGGAATTTCTGGAGTGTAACAGATACTATTCGTGTATTAAATCTACATTGAAGATGTATTCTAGCACTAAAATGGATTTGTACTTTTCATAGAGAAACTACATGGTAACTTTTATAAATTTTCGAGAAAATATGCGAATATTCACGATTATATTAAACACATAAAGTTGTGTTTGGAGGAATTACTTCATAGCGAATTGTGTGCCCGAAGGATAAAATTGCAAAATTACAGCTTTCTATTATATGCGCAGATACCATCTTTTCTGAGTATCTGCACCAATGCTATGTCGTTCATGTTACAAAAGTTCGACAGATTTTGACGAGGCTTTTTTTTATATTGATTTTTTTTCATTCATGCTAGTCCAAAAAAATTTACAATTTAGCATTGCCGACTCCAGCACGTCTAAAGAAATAACCAGATAAGTTACAACGTCCGTTCTTTTTTGAGTCTCAAGAGTAGAAATGCGTGCATTGGGTGCACTAAATGAGAATTACCATAAATACAAGGATACACCTTAAATTGTATGTTGAAAAGTACCAAAAATTAAGTCGGCCCAGACAGAGCGGTGACAGGGAGCTGACCCCCGTGACCTCGATGTGATAAGGGGCCCGGCGGGGAACCCCCCGCGGCAACTAAAATTCCACTGCCGGTGCACTGTGTGGTGAGCTTTTTTGATACTTCCTTGGTTTATTTTAAATAAGTTTAGAGACAAACATTTGGACTTACATAATAAGTGTGCAAATGTGGTATTTCTCTGTTGTTCTCTTCTATCAAAATGGAGTATTAATAATTTCCCCATTCGACCCTTCCTTTTAAATTAATCTGTAACTCTGTCTGTGTTTTAGTTTTGTTTTGTTCTTAGATATATTTATCATCTTCATTGCCCTTTTATCTTTCACATTATGTCCGCCAAAACTCTCAAGCATTGCTTTACTTGCTACACATATATTATGATTATGTACAGTTTCCCAAATGGTGATATTTGTGGTCTTGATTATTTTTATAATCATCGCAATGATGCTTCTGCTCTACCCCATCCCTCAAGCTTCCTTACTATAAAGTGACCTGCTTTTTCCTTTCCTATGCATCCCTTCCTTTACTTTTCTTTTCTTCACACTTTTACATGGCACCCTTTTTGTACTTTTACACTTGTTGCTAATACTTGCGCACAGCTTCCTCCTACTGTTCACTCTCGCTTACTGTTATCTCTTTTCTCATATGTTCTAGTATTTAAATTATAAATATTCTCAACTTTTAAAATTATTTGATTGGGTACATGGAATACAACTTATGTCAAAATGTACCTTTTCTTTTGAGACTTGCATGTTCATGATGAAGAGGCAGTTAAAGTTTGAAGTGATCTTTAATTATTCAAAGTTTGCTTATGTTCTGCTTATTTCTTTCTTTTAACAGGCTGAGGCGCGCTTAGCTGCCAAAAGAGCTGCCAGGGCAGAGGCGAGAGAGATTCGAATGAAAGAAATTGAGAAGCAGCAAAAAAAGGTGGGTTTAAAAATGTTGTGCACTTCGTTTCAGGTTTGCAAAATTTATCAAATTATCATCTCAAAACAGGATTGAAGTCACAAGTCTCCATACAATGAGCCAGGAATAGTTCGATACATTCTTTCAAGGGGTCATTACTTAAGATACCTTCATTAGAGAACAAAAATGTTTAAACTAATCCTGAGGAGTTTCGTGTTTTTGTGTAGTATATCTTGATATGTTTTTGAATGAAAAATTGAACTTTTTATCACTCAAGTTGAGTTGATTTTTCTGCATATTATATGGTTTAAGACTTAAAATGACAGTATGTGTGGGTTTTTACTTTGTCTTCATGTATTTTTTTATATTTTTTTAAATGTATCATTTCAGTCTGAAGAAACTCAAGACAAGGTGTATGAGCTGACCAGTGATCATGCAGCTGCTAAGGCAAGTGAAATAAATCTGTTCGACTGAAATTTATCTTAGACTGTTGCTGGAGGCGTACGTAATATTATATTTTGGGGTCTGGGATGTATGGAACAGACAACTGATTATGTTGTAGACTATGGATTTGAGTCCTTATATGAATGTTTATCCTTTGAATTATTCTTAACATTCTTTCTGCATTGTATTCCTGTTAATTTCTTCTCATCCCTGCTATGCAAAAAAGACTAAATGAAGCTCACAATACCAAAAATGGATGTAGTGTTTTATTTTTTCGCTTATTGTTTCTCTTCTGTATGAAGTGATTTCAGCTGCTGCCTAGCTGTAAGGGTAATGAAGCATTTTGGTTACTCTTGAAGTAAAGTGATATGGAACAGTAGGACTTGTTTTACTGATTTAGTCTTACTTCTGTCATTTCTTACCCTAATCCTCCAAGTAATAATATAAAGTAAAGTAGGCTTGTAAAACATGATGCTTGTTTTTTTGTGACCTAATTTTTATTGTCCTGTATTTCACTTGCTACCGTAGGTTCGTCAGCAGCTATCTGGGTCACGGCGTGGCAGCACAGAATCTACCGACTCAGGTCCTGACATCAAAGATGTAGACTACAAGGTGAGTTACTTTGAGAGCTCTCCTTTTTTGTCAGTGCTTTTCGTCATATTAACTGAAAAATTTTATTTACTGTGGTTGATCTGAAAATAAAAGGAGCATTGAAAATGATTGTTATGTAGATAGTCGTTATTTTCACTCACAAAATGAAAGCTTCATATGCACGAGTTGCCTATGTCATGGAAATGGAATTTCTTATAGCATTTATATATTTTTTCTCTTCATGTGATAGCTGTTTCTTTTTTCTACTCACACCTCCTTTCTTATTAGTTCTTTGTTCAGGGAAAAGATTGATAGTGCTTTAAAAAAAAAAGTTGTTTAAGGGAAGAAGAGAGTTCAGAAAGCAAAGGTGGATTGTTACATCAATGATATGAACTGAAACATATTTCGCTCTTTTCTTTTCTTCACACTTTTACATGGCACCCTTTTTGTACTTTTACACTTGTTGCAATCTATAGTGCCAGTCATCACCAGTAGCTGTCTCATGATTTTAACTGTTTTATTTGTGTGTGTGTGTGTGTGAATTTAGCTTATTTCTTTTATTATGTTTTTGCCATTTGTTAATGTTGTGAAACTGATGCATGTGATCACTGACTGTAAGTCATGTATTTTTCTAGTTTCCTTTCACTATTAAGTTGTGAATGAAGAATCTGTGTATTGCAGCATCATAATAATTATATCAGCTTCTAATGCTTTTCTAAAGTATGAATATGTTTGTGATGTGGCAAGATTTGTTATTTGCATACATTTTTTTCTTTTTTTTTTACATCTTAGTTTTAACAATAGCTTAGTTGAGTAGATTTAAAGGAAACGTTTGTTTTGTCTTGCGATTTTACTCTTCACTTTTGTGCGTCTGTTTTGAATTTCTTTGAAGTACTGTCCAATTTATTTACACTTTTTTCTGTTGTTTCTTTTGAAACTTTGTGTACTGTCAACAATTTAAACAGAAAAAGGCTATTAAGCTGGTAAGTAGCACATGTGGTTTTGAGTTATGGGTGAGCAGCAAAACCAAGTAATAGTGCATGTGCCACATGTGGCTGGACAGTGTTGGGTGAGCACACTCTGAAATCACCAGCTGGCAGAGCAGATCATTTGATCCGTGGTCAGACTGATTCTTGCTTTTTTGGACGTGTTGCTAAAGATCCCAGTTGCATGCACCAGCTTTATTTCCATGATCTTCCTGTTAAGTTCTTTGTAAGTCTTCATGTTTTACATCCCATGAATTTGATATTGATCAATATCATAGCTCCACATAAAGTAAGCCAAATACTTGAGTATTGGACACACACCACGTGTACATAATATGATGAAAAAGCAAATACAGCCTTAGTATAGAGCAATAAAGAATTCAAGTAAACTCAAAAATGAAAATTGGATCAATAATTTAGTTTTTCTATTGTGGGAGAAAAAAAAGTAACCATAAGAAAAAAACGTGAACCACAATAGTGAAGGACCTTCTCTCTCTGAATGTCTAGATTTTAATCGTGACTTGTTTTTCTTTAAGAAGTTTCAATATTGTTTTGCTCGTTTTAGCTTTAGATATAGTGGGTCAAACACTGAGTTGATTTTCATAGATCTGTTCTGAAGATCTATTACATTTAAGAGAGATGGATAACTAACAACAGAGGAAAATGTTCATCAAAGATTCTAGACACAGAGATTGAGTAAGGTGTTGTATGTGTGCTTGTTTGCATGTTAGTCTCATCATGGACAAATAAGGATGAATTTATTGTATGACTTTTTCTACCTCTTCCTTTTAGCTGAATTCAATTTTATGTGTTTTTAGTTGTCTGCTAGTGGCAAATGGTAGATATTAGATGTGCTTCTCGAACAGTAGAGTCATTTTTACTTCCGCTGCCACTACCTTACGGTCTGTTAAATTCTGTTTCATACTATTCACTTTTCATAAAGACATGGGCAGCAGCTTAGCACTTTGGTTGAAAATGATAGTGGAATTGTCCAGAAATTGAGCCCAAAACAGAAACCCTTGCGAAATTAACTGAAGGAAAAGGGAATTGCTGACATCAATAATGTACATAAGTCATGAGCTTACCTTCTTCATTTGAGCGTTGAATGTAAGTATAACCTACTATAAGTTTTAAAAAAACAACTGCACAATTTTTTTAATGTTCTGATTGCTGTATGAGTTTGTGAGCTATTTTATTGTTTCTGCAGCACAGCGTGTGTGGCTCTATGAAAGTGCATGTTGTTCACTCTTGCTGCGTAACATTGTAATTTTGAATGTATTCTGAAAAGTAATGCACTGTTCACCTTGTCAGATTACAAGTTTTTAGATAGTTTTATTTATTTGTTGAGTTGAAAGTCGACTAAAGTCTCATCTTCTCTGTATTGAAAGTTGTACTGTTCTCATTTTTATAATTATTCCAGTTAAAATATCTATAAAGGTGTAGTAGCTTGTGATGCCTTTGACACATTGATGCCTTAGGATTCTTAAACTATTAGTTCCAAACAGTAGTTTGGTGAGAACAGGAATATTGCAATTTTGTCAGGGGATTTCTGTTGCAAGAATTCTAGCTTATGTATCTAAAGAAAAAAAATCTTTTGTATTTAATAACAGAGAGCTGTACTTTTTATATGTGGCATACTCCTTGATCAGGTTTTTAAATAGGCTTTGCATGACATAAAGTCACTTTTTGCTTTTTTGCCTTTTACTGCTATCACAGTGGAGTCCTTTTTTGATAACATTCTTTTGCTTGAAGGAAAGACAGCTTTTGGTTGCTCAGATAAGACCATCACTATCAACAAATAGATTTGGCTGCACAGGCTTAATGTTTAATTCAAGAAAGAAAGAGAATTTATGTTTCAGAAAGTTCTGTGCCTTAAATCTGAGACCTATATCTAGCTTTCAGCAGAGCCATTTTTTGTTTGTTTTGTTTTAAAATTTCGTTTACTTGCATGGACAATTTTACTGCTGTTTGTACTCTTTCATTAATAGATGATTCTAGAATTATCAGCTCTGGTTATTGTTAAAAAAGAAGGGATGTCCATGTATAAACTTGTATTTTTATCATGACTCCCCACCCCATCTGCTGAATTTGATGTTTCAGTTGTCCGAATGCAGGGAAAATTTGGGGGAGTGCTTGCTTTTGACAGAAAGTTGTTTTGAATCCATGGTTTAGGCTTTTATAAACTAGAATATGGGTTAATTATATTGATGCATAGTTTTGATTTAAGGTATATATATCTTTTTGACTGTCAGTTTAAGATTTGGTAGAGATTAGTTTTCATGAGGATTTTGTTCAGATTTGATTTTGTCTATCTAAATTAATTTCTTGTCAGCCAAATTTAACAATAGGGTTGACAATTTGGAGACTTTCAACAACGTTCAGTCTGAGATGTTCTTTTTACTTTCACAAGAATTTCTACAGAGAAATAAAGGCACTTAAAATATAATTCCAGCTCAGATATTTATCTTTGTTGCTGCTCTTTGGGGCTTTTGTGTTTCTGATTGTTTTGTTGCTCAAGTTGAATCAGGTTATAACAGCCATTTCTTGTAACCCCTCAGGCAGAGGTGAGGGAACTGGAGGAGAAGTACAAGGCTGCCATGATGACCAGCGCCCAGCTGGACAATGAGAAACAGTCGCTGGTATATCAGGTGGAGCTACTCAAAGATCAGCTGGAGGAGCAGGATGAAGGTTACACTGAACTGCAGAGAGAATTCAAAGACAAGTGTAGGGTAGGTCTGCCTGTGCACTGTGACTTGACTGTAAGATTTATGTATGCAATACTTGTTCAAAACGACAATCTCTACTTTATGAAGTGTTAATTGTGTTTTTTTTTGCTTACATTTTCTTTAAATTCTGCCTTTTATTTTACTGTAAATAAATAACGAAAAAAAGAACTAGCTGCTTCTGTAGAAAAGGTACAAAGTGTCAAAATACTGACAATATACAGTTATGTATTATTTTTGTGTAATATCCAATGGAGAGAGTGCCCTTTGTGGGTCTAGGAATGTACTAAGTTTTTAATAAAAGTAAACTCTGTCTGCACGAACATACTTTTTTTTTTCACCATTATGATGTCAGTGGATGAGGAGTTAACATGTCATTTTAAGTAGAATTGATGTTTATTTTTGTTTTGATTTTATTGTATGGTCCTTATTATTTTATTTTTCCAGGAATGTGATTTTCAGAAGAGAGATCTAAAAAGTATGGAACATGAACTGGATATACTAAAACAGCAATTAGCAATTAAGGACAGGTTAATAGAGGTAAGCTTTATAAATTGCACTTCTTTTTGTGGTGTCACCTTTCTCTTCCCCTTTTAGAAGTTATAAATTAGCAAATAAATGAAGTCATTCATTTTGAGAAAGAGTTAAAAAAAACTTTATTCTATGACTAATTTGCCAGCTTTGGTCACTTTTTATGGTTTAGAAGCAATTCTAAAGACTTCAAATTCCCTTGAGTTTAATGCAGTACTCCACACATAGCTTCCCTTAACAACAAACTCTTAAGTGGTTTATGTAAAATTCTGTTGTTTCTCTATATAAAGGCAGGGTGTCGTAATTCATTTCTCTTGAAATCATGAAGCTTAGTATTGCAAAATGTTGTTGTTTATTATGCATGCGTTTTTCTTGCAGGAAAGTGGTTTTGTGATTGTTTCCAATGAAAGTGGGGAGCCTGTACTAGAAAAGCAATCTGAACAGTCAGCGTCAAGTAATGGGCCCCTTCCCACTGGTGCTATTCTAGTGTCTCCAGAGACGAGAAATTTGCTGGAGAAGGCTGGAGGAACCACATTAGGTAGCTGTAGCACCTTGTCTCAACCTTGTACTAAACCTGTCCAATTGGATAGTCAGGCTGAAGTGTCTGTCTCTACTAGTCCTGCTCTCACGCCTGCACAGCTTAATGTAGACTCTGTAGATTCTGCCTCTGGCCCAAAAGAAAACCTATCATCATCTTTTGACAATGAAGACCTCAAAGAAAAATGTACGACAACTGGCGAAGTTTGTGCTGAGGCACAGAGCAGGCCTAGTGAAGAGACATTGCATGACAGTAGTGATGTGGTGACTAATACTGGTGTTGTTTGTGAGCATGATGTGGTAGAAAATTCTTTGGCAGGTAATGATGGCACTGGAAACAATTTGGGTCAGGTGACTAGCTTTACTCAAAGCAGTGAACAATCTGACAGCCAAGTCGTTATGACTAGGGCAGGAAAGAAAGAGAATAGGGATCCAAATGAGTTGGTGATCTCAGAGTCAGAGATGTCCATTGATGTTCCTTCTGTTACTGTTACCAGTGTTGAGAAACAGAACAGTACTGGGGGAGAAGAATCAGATGAGGAAGGGGAGTTTTATGATGCAGTCAGCACTCCGTCACCTTTTGATAAGTCTGGAAATAAGTCCTTTGATCTAGAAAACACAGAGTCAGGAAGGGGCCTTTCAACCAACATTGAAGGGTCTTCAGTAGATGGGGAAATAGTCATTGTTACAAGCAGTATTAGGTCAGGGAATAGGGAAACTGTATCGAGACAATCCCTTGTCATTGAGGGAACAACAGAAACTGAAAGCAGTACCGAGAATGTACTTCACAGTTCTTCTGTAGATGGGTTTAAAGAGTTAAAACAAGAAAAGTGCGTCGACCAGGAGCTCGTCATTGATGAACAGAAGACAACCGAAAAAACGCAAAGTACTGAGGAGGAACAAGATGACATTATGACTGTTGAAATTACGAGTAAAGAAAATACTGTGACCTGCAGCACTGGCACTGACGTAGGTTCTAAAAAGGAAGAAGTAGACAACAATAATACAGAGGGAAATATTACTGGGGAAAACAGAATGACTTTAGGTAAACAGGAAAATACTGAAGAGCTGTTCGTCTCTACTGAAAGTTTAACAGCAGGAGATATGCTCTCTTCAGACAGAAGCACTCTAGATGATGAGTTCGTTATCAAAGGGATGGATCAAAAGAGTGAGCCAATTAAAGACAGAGAGGAACTAGTAGCAGGGAAAACAGACGTTGGCTCAAATGAGCAGGCTGAATCTTCAGTTGAGGTGACTTCTGGCAAAGGAACTATCCTGGACCAAACAGAGACAATTGATTCTCACAGAAGCCAAGAGGAAGGACCTGCTACAGAACTGGATGAGAAGCATGAGTCTTCCAGTAGCATTGCTCAGCAAGGAAAGGTAGAAGATGCAACTGCACAAGACACAGAGAAAAATTTGTCTGAAGATTTGGGTTTGACTGTGTTGGGGACAGATTGCTCTGGAACTGAGCAGAAGGAAACTACATTGAAAGCTGATGAGGAATTGGTAGAGGAAGGTGGTGGTGATGAACAGAAAGGTTTCAAACAAGGTACTGCAATATCTGCTGATGTTGAGGATTCACAACAGGTTAAGCAGACTTTTGATGCTAGTGTTGATGATGGGAATGGTGCTGAGACAGCTGTTTATGAAAGGCATGAGAATGACAGGGTAGCAGTTGGAGAGTTTTCAACAGAACAGAAATCAACTGACACTGATACCAAATACTTTGACCAGGAAGGTATCAAAAAATCTTCACAAGAAGTCAAAGACTTTGAACAAGAAGATGTCAAAGAACTAGAGCAAGAAGATACTGAAGGAACTGGGATAGAAGATGTCAAAGAATTTGAACAAGAAGATGTCATAGGGACAGAATTAGATGTCACAGAAATTGAAAAGGAAAATATAACAAAACATGAAGAAGAAGATGTCAAAGAGCTTGAACAAGAAAGTGTAAAAGAACATGAACAAGAAGATATAGGGACAGAATTTGGTGTCACAGAAATTGAAGAGGAAAATATAACAAAACATGAAGAAGAAGATGTCAAAGAGCTTGAACAAGAAAGTGTAAAAGAACATGAACAAGAAGATGTCATAGGGACAGAATTAGATGTCACAGAAATTGAAAAGGAAAATATAACAAAACATGAAGAAGAAGATGTCAAAGAGCTTGAACAAGAAAGTGTAAAAGAACATGAACAAGAAGATGTCAGCAAATGTGAACAACAAGATGTCAAAGAGTTTGAACAAGAAAATATCAAAAGACTATCCAGCAACACAGAGGCTGACATTTTACCTGATGGTGTTACACAGGAGTCTCAAGTAAATGTCAACGAGCCAGAGAAAAAAAATTGTTCAAAGGCTGGGGAAAATGAATTGGAGTCACCTTCTGGTAATACTCTATTGAGAATGCCCAGTTTTGAGGGTGGGGCATCAGAGGCATCTGAAGGTGGAGTTCTGGATGATTATGACCTTGATGATATTGATGATATCCTCGCTGAGGGACAGGATGCCCCTGTGGTGGAGGAAGCACAAGATGCTGATCCTCAGGATGCCTCGCTAAAGGCTGATCATCCAGCCATTGAGTCCATAGATTCTGAAATAAGTAGTGGTCAAACAAGAGAGGAGGAAGGGACAACAGCCATTACCCCAGAAGGTATGATTGGAGCTGAAGGGGGTACTAGAAAAGGGAAGGGTAAGCCCAAAGGTAAAAAAAGTAAACACAGCAAGGAAACAGGGTCACTTAGTTCTTTAGAACCAGATGATTTGGAGGGTGCTCTGGACAAGAAAATGTCGGAGTCTGAGAAATCCAAAACTCACAAAAAATCAAAGAAATTCAAGCTTTTTAAAAAAGTATTCAAATGAGAGGATTAATGTTTAATTGTCCTTCTTGATCAATGTTTTTAAATGATTGTTTTTAAATCATCAACTTGATTTTTCTGCTTTGCCTATTTATGTCACTTTCTTTGGTGCTTGTCTTTATTTGATTTCATTGGTGATGTCTCCTCTTTCCTTTTCTAGTTTAAGCCAGCTTTTGTAATGCATATTCAAAGAAATGAAAATTGCTTCAGTATTTGAACTTGCTGCTATCTTTCAGTCTGATGAAAACTGGATTTTCTTTGGAATGGCTGTTTATTTTAGATATAATGTTGTTGGAAATGATTTGCCTTTGCAATAATGTTTTTTTTTCAAAATACTCATTTGCATGTTGATTGTGACAGTGTCTGTTTTTTGTCTTTGCTATCTCTATTATAATTTGTATTTGAAGACAAAAACGTGTGAAATTTTTGTTGGTCTTGTGCTGTTGGAGGGTATGAAAAAAGACCAATCAGAATTGTGTGTGTTTTTTAAAACTAAGTCTACTGGAAGTTGATCTTGCCCATTGTCTTAAGGTTTTTTAAAACTATCATGACTTATATCACTTCTGCCTTATGCAAAAATAGTTTTTGTGAGTAATGCAATGTAAGAGAATGAAAAAAATCTGATTCTATCGTGTGTTATCTCTGAATACTCTTTAACTTTAAAAAGACATTTGTTACCTCATTCGAAAGCACTGGAAATCAATATGACATTACAAGCCCTCCTCTATAGACGCAGGGACAAATTCCTGATTCCGGATGGGTGCATAAGTCTTATGTTAATGATACTGGTGTTAGAGATCGGTGTTTTACAGTTTTTATACAGAGATGAATAGCTTGGGTTTATATTAAATAAGGAACTGAAGAACTTCAAATTTTAACGTACAACCTGATATATTTTACAAGTCTTACCTAATGTTTGCTTGTCATGCTTTTATGAATGACCATGAACAATTTTATTGGTCTTTCATTTTCTGTTGATAAAATCTTTCAGTTGTTTTATTGTAATACAGATCTGCATTTTTTTCCTGCTCCAGAGCTTTCGTATGTTTTGTGAAATTCACATGTCTCTGTGATTCAAACCTTCTTGTATACAAATTACACAAGGTGCCTTGCATGGTAAAGGAATGTTCCGAGCTGTTGACGTTCTCAGTTTTTAAGAATGGGTGTAATTGAGGGAGAGGGGGTTGTTATTGGAATAGACATTGTCTAACTAATGTATTTCCAGAATTACGATTTCTACTTGACATGTTATGTTTTCAGCTAGTCATCTTAGAAATTTGTTAACTACTACGTGTACATTATGTATACGTTGCTGTTATTCGATGGTGAACTTCAGTGTGCACCAAAGATGATAGTGCCTTGGGTATTTATTTATTTATAAGTTATTGAAGTTTGTGGGAAAACTTTTATCAAAACCTCTGGTTACACCATGCTTATTGTTCTTATTTAATATTTAAAAGTGATTTTTTTTTTTTATGAAAAGGAAAACCCCCAAAACAATCAAATTTACAATTGATAATCATTTGCATGATTTTATGACCAGTGTGATAGAAGCGTTTAATACTTCTGTGACTGATTTTTGTTATCAAAGGCCTGCGTATTTTGTAATTATTGACTTTTTGCATGCTAGCTACTACTTTCATTTTTATTCTGAAAATATAATGAAGAGTCACCTTGACTTTCATAAGAATTGAGTTGATACTTTGGCCTATATTTTTGTTTTTATGAAATACATTTGGTTTGCACTTGCAGAAGTTATCTGAAAGAAAAATTAAATGAAAGAATTCGGTCAGGTTTGAATTGTATCATTTATACCTATTGTTTACTTTCATAACAATACTTGAGTCTAAAATCATGATAGAAAAGGCAGGAAGTCGTGTTGTGATAAAAAAAAAATACTGTATAATTTTCATGTAAGACTCAGAAGTTTGTTACACGTAGTAGTTGGCAGCGATGTGACTTTTGTTGCATGTGTGTATGTGTGTGTGTGTGTGTGTGTGTGTGTGTGAGAGCGCGTGCGTGCATGTGTTTTATCTATTCTTTGCCTGTTCTATCCTGTTACTATGAAAGGTGCCTGAATTTATCTTGAGGGCAACCAAATTTTATTGATGAGAAATAGGCCATGTTGAAGATTGAAGGCAATTTAGTTTTTGTAACTATAGTTCATCAACTTTTCAGTTGTACTCTGTATGTCCAATGCTAGATTTAGATAACAGTGTCTGGTCTTCTGCATGTCATGTACAAAATTTACTGTTACATTTTTATGGTTGTAGAATAGGACTAAATGTTTTGTTGTTCACTTAATTTTCTCTTAGCTTATTTTTATTTCATGAATTCAAACTGATTGTTTTGTAAGTGTATCCTTATTCCTGTTTTGGTTTTTTTCTTGTTCTTAGTTTACCTTTTTGTTATTATTTGGTGTATGAGAAATGCAAGAGGTTCTAGAAGGTATTACTTCTCCGGGTCCTAAAAAATGCATTATTTTAGGGGGGGGGGGGTAAATTAAGTTGGTCATTTAGTGAAGGGTCTTATTTTTGTTGCCTTTACTTTCTCACACATACCTTCCGGGGCAGTGCCACTGACTGTAGTGTCTTTAGGCCATTCCAAAAGGGGGGACATTTCTCGTTCAAGGATAGTAGAATTGTAAATGGGCTGACTCATGTCACGCTCATAACTGTGCCTGATCTACAACAGGGAACTGCTGCTTTTTCTCTCCTGATCCTTACTATTGTCATTTTCCTCTACTTCTTTTGTATGTTTGTCACTCTCTTGTGACCTGCTATTTTCGGGGGGGCCTTGATAGTCGAAGCAGACCTTGTACTGTTGAAGCTAGAGAGGTGAGCAGTCTAAGTCTGATTCCCTGTAAAGACTTCTCTGTTGAAACCCACCCCTTGGTTGTTATATGACCTTATGCAGTTGCGAGCGCCGTAAAACCCTCGATTATTAAAAAACCCCCCAAAAAATCCAAACTTTTTCACACCTTTTGTGTATGATGTTTAGTGAAAAAGAGAACAAATGCAGTTGAATGATTGCAAGAAAAATGTACAGGTGCTCTAGCAATTTTGATTGCTCTTTTTCTCAGTTCTCAACACTGACTTTGATGTTTTGTTTTGTCATTGAATGAGCATACACTGAGAATGTGTTCTTCTACTAACATGATTCTTTTTTATTTTCCTACCATGAATATGGCTGTTCTTTTTGAGACATTGCCATATTTTGTAGCAGTAATTAGTTATCGCTGATTTTATTTTTGCTTCCAGCAAGTTCACATATCTTACACATTGCTCTTGGTTTCTGTCATACAAGGGATTTACCTGTGGAGTACTTTTTTTAAAATTTTAAATTATCCTGAAGTTGCCATACAGTGTACTTAAAGACTTGCCAAATTTAAAACATATCCCTCTTGTATTTTAAAGATTTTTGTTTGCAGCTTTTCTTTCTTTCTTTAAAAAAAAAATTAAAATTAATTCTCAAACCACAAAAGTCTGTCTTACTTAACCTCACCAATATTATCCTAGATTGCATTAATCCAGGAGCCCACTTTCATATATTTAATTATTTGTTGTTATATTGTAAGGGGTTTTATTCTGTCATATTATCCTTCACTTTTACACTTTATTATGTAAAGAACTTCTGCCTTGGTTCATAGCTTGAAACACCTCAAATTGATGCGTAAGTTGGAATTTCTGACAATAAAATCCTTTATGAACTGGACAGTCGCGCTCACAATGTGTATAATATGGCAACAGTCTTCGGTTTTAACTGTAACCATAGATGTTTTGACTAGTCATCAAATGAAAGTGAAACTTCTCAGGCAACGTCAACTCCATTGAACATAATTTAACTTTAAAAAGTTGACAGCTATTTACTGAAAGTGCAGATAATCACAATATTATTAGAACATTTTATGGCAATGCTGATTTTTATGCATGTAAATGATTTTTTATTATGATATATATTATGATATAGTGATTAGACCAAAACAATATTGGGGAACAGATTAGATCCCAGCTGTCTCTTGGTTGACGTCTTAGATTAAAGTATAGCAGCTTAAGTCTCAGTTAAAGCTGTTGCCGTTTTTATTACTCTATTCCCTTTGTCCATAAAACCCATTCTTTATCTGTTTTGAAAAATAGATTGTTTCAGGCATGTTTTGACTTGTAGTTTGGAGAAAATAAAGTGGACGATGAGAGGGATTATTGTTTGGCGCAATAATATTCAAGTGTCAGATAGACAACATAGCTTGAAGGACTTGTTTTGCTGCTATATACATAATGAACTGAATTGATTGAGCTGCATAATTTTCAATCATTTCGAAGTGAAAAGTGCTTTTGAATTGGGTTCATTTGCCTGTGACTTTGCACTCTAGAAAGTGTTAACAAATTTTCCCATTTGTATTGTGTGTTTTTGGAAATTTCTCAACCTGTTATACATGAAGGCATGCTGACATTCCAGACATGTGCATATCCTTTTCTCATATATTTACATTTTTAATATAAAAAGCACTAACTTCGTAAGGAATAGTGCGAATTTTGATGACTTTTTACAGTCTCTTTACACATAAATTCCATGAGTTTCAATGAAACCTTTCTATTCTACTTCACCAGTTTACCCCTTTCTTCCACTCATGGGTTTAAAAATCCTACCATTTAATAAAAACCTATAGCTCATGCATGAAAACATCAAATTTGCCTCTCCTTAATGTCTTTTACTTAATTTTAATTCTGTCATTTCTTTCCATTGTGGAACTGAAGCTTTTGTTATGTATACATTTTTTTAACTTAATTTACTTTATTCAACACTCATTTTTTCCTTATGTTTAGTGAGAGTCTTGTAGCAGCCCTGATTGCAACCGCATACTTTGTATTTCCTTTTTTTTTTGTTCAATGGGAATGTATAAGGTTTAAATATAACCTCAGATAATACGAAAAAAGAATGAATTTGGTCCGTTCCAAATAATTTGTTTTTGCTGTCTACCAAGCTGATAATATGCTTTTTAACTCCTCCAATCAGATAAGACATAATCAAGAGATATTATGAATATGTCACCAATACCTTTCCTTGCAAAATGCTTATGAGGTTTCCATAGACAGTGTCAGGATGGAGTAAAGTTTGACCTCAACAAGTCTCAGCATGTGCATCAAAGATTGAAGTTGCTCTCTGTGGTTTGCTGTCCCTTTACATTTTGTTAAGAAAGGATTTGTGAATCCACAACTTTTTTTTCTCCACTACATGAATTGTGTCAGCTCTTAAAAAGTTGTTCATGTAAATAAATGTCAGAGTCAAGTTCTTTATAATGCAGTTGCGAGCACCATTAAAATCATACTAAAACAAACAGGGTCAAGTTTTACACATGATGGTTTAATAATAGACATGTGATGTGTTGTTGGAAAGTCTTGTTTGGATTCTGTTTTTATCTTCATATCTCTGCTTTTGAGATATTGAAGCCTTCAAATAAGATGGACAGTGTGTGCCATACTCAAAAAGCAACCTCATCAAAATGATGGAATCAAATTTCAAGTGTTATGTATGGTAATGCATAAAACTGTTTATATTTTTGTTCCTCGTCATCCAAAATCCAGACTTTTTAATGCGCTGACTGTGGTCATAGTCTTGTGTTTTCTAATTTTGAATCTTTGTGGGAGAATGCTGTCTTTCTTGCTATCTGAGCAAAACAAGCTAAAGTCTCATTTTGTGTAGGTTTAAATGTTAAGTGGATAATTATTTTCTGTAAAATTCATCATGATGGGGATGAACATTGAATTTAAGTACCGGCTGTGAACCAAACTAGATGATATTAGAGGACTGTTAAAGAAAGCCATATTATAAATTTTGTTGAGAATCAGTGATCTGTATAAATGCTATATTACCGTTTTGGATATTTTCTTTGTGTTCAGTTACCCTTTGTTAAATGATTTATTCTCTTGAAATGTTGATAACTTATTCTTATGCAATTGCATGATTTGCCTCTTAAAGTGTTCAGAATTTAGACTAGGAGTGGGGGGTGGGGGGTGGACTCTGACTGAGATATGATTATTAGTTTTCTTTAAAAGTGCAAAACGTTCGGGGTGGAAAAGGGGATGGGAGTTGCTTTATGTCTGAGACATTCTTTGCTTTGCTGTCTCACTGATATCTTCATAACTTTTTTTCTTTCTATCAGTATGTACCCATGTGTGATTCATATTCTGCTTCTTTTAACCAAGCTACAGATTCCACAAATGATGTTTTAGAAATACAATGTATCAATAAAAGTTTTGTGGATACATATGTTTTTGTTTCTAGTGCTTTAATACTGGCACCATGGTTCTTGAAAAGTGCATCATACAACTTGACTCTGGCATGAAATATGAACATTTGTCACACTCACATATTTGGAAAAAACATTTAATTATGTCTTGGCATTATGTTGTTGTTTTTTTTTTGTTGTTTGTTTGGTTGGGTTTTTTTTGTGTGTGTGTGGTTAAAACTGTGAAGTATCAAAATGCACGAGTTGTTCTTGTTTCCTATTACGTGTAGTTTTTCTGCCTTATTTACTCCTAACACCTCTGAACTATTTATTGTGTGTGCAGTTTGATTGTTTCATGGTAAGAAAGAAAATATTAAATGCACTCTTTTGTAAAGCTGGGAATTTTGGTGGAAATATTCACAGAGTCAAGTTGTAAGTTGCTACTGCTTTTTCCCCCTGAAACCATTCATCTTCTCATGGTATACAAGTACAATTTCCAAACACCCAGAACACTTTGAATAAAAAAAACTCACTTTTTTTCTTGCATGCCCCTTTCCTTAACAATTTATCTTGCAACTTTACATCATACAAAATGACACAGTATAAATTAAGAGTCAATCGTGGAGGTTTTTTTTTGGGGGGGGGGGGGTGAAGGAGTATGAGAAGAAGA